CGCGCACCACGCCGGACTACCACGGCAAGATCTGCTCCTTCATCCGCAAACACGACGCCAGCAACGTGTCGCTGGTGTTCGACAACCGCGGCTCAGAGAGCTTCCAGGGCCACGGCTACCACCACCCGCACTCGTACCGAGAAGCACCGAAGGGCGTGGAGCAGTTCCCCGCCGTGGTGTCCCTGCCGTCAGGAGAGCGGCCACTCACGCACTGGCCGAACGTCATCATGATGATGGGAGACCGCGCCGCCGAGCTCAACACTCTGGACAAGGTGGTGCACTTCTAAGACGATAAAGTGCAGAGCACCTACTACCTGACGCGCCCCGAGCCGCACTTCACTCTGGTGGTCATCTTTGATGGCAGGAAATCGGAGAAGGATCTGCACATTGCCGCCTTCCTGCAGGAGATCTGCGGCTCGCTGAGGAACTCTAAACCGTTCAGCACCCTGAAACCCGGCTCGAAGGGCTGAGACACGACGAACTGACGATCAACCTGCGAACATTTCACATTCATAAGATGCTTAAACATCCTGTGGACCAACGTCTGGATGGTTTAACGTCGTTCACGTTGTACCAAAAATGTTTCAGACCAAAGAGACGCAGCGACACCTCGTGTGTCACTGACCCGACACGCAGTACGCTGAAGTGCTTCAAACCTTCGTTTATTTAAAGATTTTAATTATTTTGCATCAAGTTCTGTTTTATTAATATTTTTATGAACATCTCATATTTACTGTTCTTGATACAGTTTAAATAAAGCTTTGACATGATTGAACAGCTTGTTGAAGAACTGACTGACGTCAGTGATGAAAATGATTTGTTAGTTTCAGCCCTGATGATGTCATAACGTCCTGACGATGTAATAAAACTTGCTTCAACCTGATTAAACATGTAATAAAACCCAATGATGTAATAAAACGAGCCGACTGATTGATTGGTAGGAACTTAATTTAATGCACCTTTACACCAGACATCTGTCGTTAATTAAAGTTCTACATGAAGCCTCCAGGTTACGCTTTGATATAATAGAGTCAGATGTTTTCAGTTACACAAAGTTACATTTCCTAAAAAAACACTGTTTTAACATTATTACATCATGAGTTAAAAAAA